AGAGCTCAGCATTAGAGGGGGATTCAGTGTGTTCTACCATAGTGTAGATGGGGAGAGAAATGGAGTAAAGATAATGTTGAAGGAAAAGCATGTAAATAGTGTTGTGGAGGTGCAGAAAGTCTCATACCGTATCATGAGTTTGAAACTGGAAATTGAAGGGGTGATTTTAAATGTTTGTAGGGCATATACCCCACAGCCTGGATGTCAGGCAGAAGATAAAGAGGAATTTTGGAATAAACTGGAATAAAGTGTTCTCAGGGGAGAGCGACCAGTGACTGGAACAATTTGAGTTCAGTGGACACACTGGTGAAGCGAACAGAGGTCTTGAGGAGGTGTTGGTAGATGTGGTGTTAAGAAGGGAAATGCAGAAGGACAGATGGTAGTGGATTTTGGGAAAAAGGATGGAAGTAGCCATAGCCATGAAGATATATTTCACAAGGTGACATAATATTGGGTGGACTACATCGTATCCAGGGAGTGCAACCTGAAAGAGAAAGGAGATGTCAGGGGAGAATGTAGTTAGGTAGCACTGGATGGTAGCATGTATGATTTTAGAAATCAAGAAGAGAAAGCCAGTGAAGTAGAGGCTAGGACAAAATGGTGGAAGTTGAAGTAGGACGAATGTTGCACAGAGTTCAGGGAGGGGTTGAGACAATATCTGAAAGCTGAAGTGGAAAGGAAAACGGCCAAGAAGGTTTTTGGTGTATCCTCCAGACAGACGAAAAAGGAGACTTGATGGCTAGGTGTACAGCTAGAAAGAGAGGTTACAAAAGCAAATGCAAAGGCTTATAGTGAGCTGTATGTGAGGCTAAACACTAAGGTGGAGAACAGGAGTTGTGTTGATTAGCTAGTTAGACAGATAAACTGAGGTGGAGTGGACGTGCAGTAGTGTAGGGTGATTAAGGATAGATATGAAAATGTGCTAATATGTAAAGAGAGTGAGTTGAGAAGTTGAAAGGAGTACTTTAAGGAGCTCATGCTTAAAGAAAATGAGTGAGAGAGGAGGATGGGTGGAAGGCAGTTAGTGAATCAGGAAGTGGAGAGGATTAGTAAGGAGGAAGTGAGGGCAGCCAAGAAGAGAATGAAAGCATGCTGGTCCTTAGGTCTGTGAAGGTTCTCAGTCATCCAGGTCATCGCAGTCAAAGGAGCTTGCAAAGAAAAGCATCTGGACTTCTTTAAGTTGCTTGAAGACGTTTCACCTCTCATCCGAGAAGCTTCTTCAGTTCTAAGGTCAAATGG